CCCCAAAACCCCAAAACCCCAAAACCCCGAGTGATATCAAGTCTTTAAATTTTAGAATTTGAATTATTAAATCAAGAAGTTAAAATTTCATGTTAGGTATATCAGTATTGTGCAAAAAATATCACTTGAATCTCTTAGTTTGCTTTGATGGCTATTAAACCATTTTAGCTTTGCTAATATTCTACTTTGTGTTAACAATCTTGTGATTGATGTTTGATAATCTTGAATCCAAATGATTGAAAGAATTCTGCATAAAATATTCAACATTTTTTAATTGACTTAGCACATCATATGGCCAGTTATTATCATTAGATTACTATTATTGATAGTTTTATGCTTGATATCCCATTTGATTATAAGTGTTATTCTAGCCTGCTTAATTTGTTGGCTATAGTCCTTAGCTTTATAAGTGTTGTAATCTTGCTTGCGAATTAGGTGATATTAATCCTTAGTTTTGATATCCTAAATTTGATTGATCATTAAGACTTTGATTCTTGCTATTTTAATAGGGTATAGATGCATTTGGAATTACTCTTGCTCCTGAATATCTTTGATTTTATAATGGAGGCAAATTCTATGAAGCAGATTGATTAAGCATCTGTTGCTGAGGGACATTCTTATTAAATCTATTTAGTGATCCAAAAGTGCCTAGATTTTGATTTTAATTTCTCTAAGCCATTGATGGAATGTTCTATCCTGTATTTTAGTTAATCATCTTAGAATTAGGATTCGGAACGTAGTACTAAACATTTCCAAATTGATCTAATACTGGCACTTGATTATCAAGTCCAGGATTTTAAACTCCAGATATGATTGATGGATACAATAAATTTCCATTTTCATCAAATTTAGGATGTTACAATTCTCCTAGAATTTTCTAATTAGACATATTACTTTACTGAGGTAGAGTTTAATTTATCCCACTCTGATTTTAATTATAAGGATGATACTATTAGCCAAGTTGATTACTCTATATTGGAATGCCACTATATTATGGAGTTGAGTTTAGACCAAGCATTTAGTTAGGATATGCTGACATATCATCGAAAAAATCTTGTTAATAGGGCTAATTTTAATTATTAAACTGACCCAGTTCAATCTGACTGTCATAAGGATTATTTTGGCTTAGCATTGAATTTTATAGTTTCTTGCTTGGATCATTTAAGCTATTCTTTTCTAATCCTAATTACTCATAAAGCTTAGCTATGTTATCTGGCATGGATTGATTTAACTTTTCTTGTTTCTTTATCATCGCAACTAAAGGAGCTATTTTCATCAGCATTTCATCTTTCTCTTTGATCTTGTCTTTAATTTTCTTCTCAATTTATTAGACTTTTTATCTAAGTACGGGATTCTGATTTAATTTTTGAATGTTTCTAGAATCTAATTATCCATCAATGCTTAATTATTCAAATATCTGCTGCTTTTCTTCATTACTTAAGGTTGGATCTTGTTTCAAAACCTGATACAGTTACTATTATTCTGGTGGAAGGCTTAATAATTGTTGATCTTTTATTGCATCTGGAGCGTTTGATGTAAAAGCATTTTATACGATCTTAACTTAATCTTGCTTTAATATTTCTCCTGGCAATCCTTCACTTGCTGCTTCAAATAATTTTTAAACGGGATTATCTATTCTTGCTAATTTATTCTGAATTTAATCTTTGAGAACATCTAATTTTTACTTTAGATGAGGAACTTAATTTAAAGCTCTTTGAGTTTATATGTCTAGTAATTTACCTTATGCTATTTAAGCAAATAACTTTTCTTTTACTTCAGGCGTTAAACTTTGATCTTTTTTAAGCACATCATATAACTACTTTTATTCAGGTAATAAAGATTGAAGTTAGGATTCGAGTATTTAATTTGCTAATGGATTGGAAAATACATTTTAAACCTCACTTGCTACTTCTGCCTAAGTTAGCTCTGCTTTACTCTAATTTGCATCTGCTAATTAATTTTCAAGCTAGTCGAGCTTCTTTGCAATTGAAAGACCAGGATTAACTTGCTCTAACTTTTGAGCTATTTAATCTTGAATATTTTTAAGTTTTTACTATAATAAAGGGTTACTGCTCAGTTTTCTCTTGTTAAAGCTATCCAGACTACCTTTAAGAGCGACTTATCTGAATATCTCATTCTTTTCCACAGGACTAAGAGTCAAATCCTGTTTAAGGGCTTCGTAAAGTTGTCTCTATTCAGGCATAAGAGTATGAAGCCTTGTCTCAATAGCTTGCTATGCTTGATTATCACTGAAAATATTGGGAGCTTCTCCTTGGAGTTTGTCATTAGGACCATCAATTGTTTAAAGGAGCTTTACAGCTGGATTTGATTGAATGAGTTGGTTTGATATTTTTCCTTAGAGATTTTTAACTTTTTACTTTAATCTAGGGTTCGAATTGAGTTACTTTTCCATCACTTGGTCTAATTTACCTGTTGTAGCTATTTACTTAAATATCTCGTTCTTTGTTTCTTAAGGCAAGGTTGGATCTAAATCAAGAGCTTCAAATAGTTATTGCTACTCAGGAGATAGCTTTTAAAGCTAGTTGTCAATAGCTTCTCTAACAATTTAAGCTTTTTGATCTTCATTAAATTGATCAATCGGACTTTCATCATTAACATCTTAAACTTGCTGCATTTGTTCTATTTCCTTAAACAATTAGTTAGCTGGATTCCTTTATGCTCTCTGTTCTATCTTATTTTAGAGATTTTATATTTGATTACTCACTATTGGATTGGCACTCATTAGTTTTCTTTAAGTGCTTTAATCTAATTTTCCATCTACAGCTAACTATCTAAAAATTTCATTCTTATCCTCTGGTGGAATTGTAGAATCTCTCTTCAAAATCTCGTAAAGCTACTTCTATTCTGGAAGTAGATTACCAACGTTACCCTCCATTTATTGTTGAGCAAGCTTATTAGTAAAGATGTCTACCTCTCCTTTTCCAAGCTCTGAAGTAGATCCATAAATATCTTCTAGCACGCTAAGAGCTGGATTAGATGCGGTAATTTGATCTTTTATTTTGCTGACAAGATTTTTTACTTTATTTTTTAATAATGGATTAAGATTTAGTTATTATTCTAGATTACCATCTAATTTACCTCTAGTAGCTATCTATTAAAAGATTTCATTTTTTGTCTCCTAAGGTAAACTGTTATCTAGCTACAGAGCTTAGAATAGTTAGCGATGCTCTAGAGGTAAATTTTAAAGTTACTATTCAATAACTTATTTTGTTATTTGAGCTTGTTTTTACTTATTTTACTAAGACATTTTGCCTTGATTGGATCTCATTTGTCTTTTCCTTCTACTTTAAGTCTTAGCCTCTATTTTATCTTGTAGTGTCTCAAGCTATTAGCCTAATTCAGGATTAATTCTATTTACTTTGTTTGCAAGTCCTTAATCTAACTAACCTTCTAAAGCTATTTATCTAAATATCTCATTTTTATCTTAAGGACTAAGAGCTTAATTGGTGATTAATATTTGATAAAGCTTTTGCTACTCTGGAAGCAGATTAGGTAAGTTCCTCTCAAACTAAGATTATGACTAACGAGTTGAGAAAATGTCTACTTCTCCCTTTTTAATCTCAGAATTAGACCCACCGCAAATTTGCTTCAGAATATTTTCTGCTGGATTAGATTAGACTAATGCTAAGTTCTAATCTGCAAGTTCTTATTTAATGTCTTCTAATTTTCCTCTAATGTAAGGATTATTTTATGTCAATAATCTTTCACTGTTTCTATCCAATACACCTTCAACAGCAGATTATCTAAATATCTCATTTTTTTCTTATTAACTCAGGTTAGGATCTTATTTCAAAATTTCATAAATTTTTCTTTGCGCTGGTGGAAGTTTATCTAGGTTTTATTCTATTATTTACTATTATGCTTTGTTGCCAAAAATCTCAAAGTTCCCATGACTTAGTTCTGCTGCTGGACCCAAAATCTTTTACAAAGCTTTTACGCTTGGGTTTGAGGATTGCTAAGTATTATCTGAGATATCTGCTATCTTATCTAGTATTTAATTCAAAGCTTAACTTTGAGTTTTCTGCTAAATTCTCTCTGAGAGCTATTCAATCTTTGATTTCAATACTGGATTATCGAGGCTAACTTGTTATTATAATTGCTTGTCTAATTTTCCATCAGTCATAATTTATCTGAATAATTCATTTTTGGTTTCTGGATCTATTGATCTGTCATTTTTAAGGGTATCATATAGTTGCTTCTGCTCTGGTAAAAGCTATGAGATTTAACTTTCCAATGCTTGCTATGCTTATTTGTTAGTAAAAATGTCGACCTAGCCTTAGGAGAGCCTCTGTCCATTTCCACATATTTATTGAAGTGCTGCTAAACCTGGATTTTATTCCAAAATCTGATCTTAAATTTAATTCGCAATTGCTCGTACTTTCTGTTTTAGGATAGGGCTTTTATTTAATTATTGCTAGAGATTTTAATCAATAGTTCCTTATGTAGATATTTGTTTGAAGATCTCATTCTTAGTTTCTTGAGATAGATTAGGATCTTAATTTAATGCCTCGAATAGTTATCTCTATTCTGGAGGTAATTTGAACAGTGCTTATTAAATGACTTATTTAACCTCTTAAGCTTATTATGATTTTTTCTATGGAGAAACAAATTTATTCAGTGAATCCTACTCCTCCTCTATCTTTTCAATTTAGTTCATAATTTATGCTACCCCGTTACTTTCTCTTTAGGTTTTCTAGTTAATCCTATCTTAGAGGTATTGCATTTTTTATTAAAGTTCTGGATTTTTACTTGCAATCATCTAATTTGTCTTCTAATCAAGCTTACCCTCAACTGCTATTTGCCTGAAAATTTCATTTTTCTCATTTTAAGTAAGTGTGAAATCATTCTTAAGAGTTTCATATAATTATCTTTACTCTGGTAATAGATTTTACAAGTTTTACTCAACAATTTATTGTGCTTTCTAATTAGAAAATATATCAACTGATCCTTTAGATAGCTATCCATCTGATCCATATATTTGCTCTAAAACCTATTGAACAGGATCTGTACTCTGAATTTGATCTTTAATTCTATTTTAAAGATTTTCTACCTTTTACTTTAGCTAAGGATTAGAGCTTAATTTTTATTTTAAGTTTTGATCTAATCTACCTGTAGATGCTATTTACTTGAAAATTTCATTCTTAATTTCCTAAGAAATACTAGGTTCTGAGCTTAGAGCCTCAAATAATTATCTTTATTCATATGGAAGTTCATTAAGTTGAGATTATATTGCTTACTATACTATCTTTGCTTTCTTTTCTCGTGCTTGCATGGAATTATTATCAGCAGCAGTTACCATTGATTGATTTTATTCCTCAAGATTTTATATCTAATTTAACATTTATGCTATAGGTGATCTTTGGATGATTCTATCCTAAAGATATTCAATTTATTATTATAACTGTGGATTCTTATTACTTAATACCTGCCTGATCTAAGGATCTAATTTTCCTTCAACAGCAATTTATTTGAAAATTTCATTTTTTTCTTCTTAACTAAGAGAGTAGTCATCCTTTAAGGCTTGGTAAAGCTATTTCTACTCTGGCAGCAAATTATTTAAGTTTTTCTCTAAATTTAATTGAGCTTTCACATTGGTAAAAAGGTCTAATGGATCTTTTGAAAGCTAAGCATTAGGTCCAAAGATTTACTCAAGAACTTAAAGGGCAGGATTTGCACTCTTCACCTTACTCTAAATTTTTTCTTATAGGTTTTGAACTTTCTATTATAGCTAAGGATTTTGATTCAGTTTCTATTTCATGTTTTAATCTAATTAACCTGTTGTTGAGATTTGCTTGAATATTTCATTCTTAGTGTCTTAAGATAATGTTGGATCCTAATTTAAAGTCTCAAATAGTTGCTTTTACTCTGTTGGGAGTAAGCTCATCTAAGCTTCTATTACTTACCGAACTTCTTGAGCTTATTATTCTCTTAAGTAAGGTGGCAGAGCATTATTTTAGAATAATAACTCTTTTTATTGCTACTACTAATACTACTAAAATTATTATTACTACTACTGCTGCTATCCTTCATCTAGTTTATCAATTTAAGAAAGAACTTTGGCCATTGGATTGCTTTAGGTAGTTTAGATTATTCTTTATTGCAAATTTTCTAGCTTCTGTTTAAGCTCTGGATTCTTAGCCGCTAATCTCTATTTAGTGACTAAATCAAGTTTACCATCTACAGCTATTTGCCTAAATATTTCATTTTTCTCATCTTAACCTAATGTAAAGTCATTTTTTAGTGCTTCATAAACTTGCTTTTATTCAGGAAGTAAATTATTAAGACTTTACTCAATTGCTTACTGAGATTATCTATTTGTGAATACATCTAGAGAGCCTTTAGATAACTCATTATCAGGTCCATAAATCTATTCTAAAACTTACATTGCAGGATTAGATTTGCTTATCTGATTTTGAATTCTACCTTGAAGATTCTGAACTTTTTATTAAAGTTAAGGATTTTAATCCAATTTCTATCTCAAGTTTGAATCTAGTCTACCAGTAGATGCTATTTATTTAAATATCTCATTTTTAGTTTCCTAGGTTAGTGATGGATCTTTACTGAGTATTTCAAATAATTATTTTTATTCTGGTGGGAAACTTTATATCTGCTATTCTATAATCTATCTTTATTGCTGAGCTTATTCAGCTTTATTTTGACCTCCTTTAAATCTTTACTAGTTCTAAACACTAGAATTCTAATTTAATAATTCACTTTAATCTTAGGATGAAGATCCTCCTCTATTTTAATTTACTTAACTTTTTATCTGTTTGACTACTTATGCTTATTGCATTTCACTAAATTAATCAAGTAAATTTGCAACAGGGTTATCTTGGATTTGGTTTTTTTTGCTAATTTTAGTTTCAAGATCAGTTAGTTGATTAGACAATTCTGGATTAATCTTCATTAGCTTTTGCTTATTTACTTAATCTAGCTTGCCTTACACTGCAATTTGCTTAAAAATTTCATTTTTTTCATCTTAACTCATCGTCGGATCTGATTTCAGGATTTAGTATAATTTTTACTATTCTGGCATCATTTTCATAAGTTACTTCTCGAATAATTATCTTGCTTGATCATTAGTGAATACATCCAGTACTTATGAAGAGGGGTTATTGGATGAAATCTGCTTGATTTATTTCATTTTTTTCTAAAGTTAGGGATTTCTTTTAATTTTCTATGCAATCTCTGGCTAAAGTTATCCTTCTAGTGTCAACTACTAGAATATTTCATTCTTTTCCTAATTTGTAAGAATTGGATCATCTTTCAAAGCTTGATATAACTACCTCTACTCTGGCTGCATCGATTCTAGCTGCAATTCAATTGCTTTATCTGATTGATTATCCAAAAATGCCTGCTGAATATTTTGGACTAATTATCTATTTTCAGGGGTCTGAGGCAGCTTAAAAGTTTAGTTCTACTTAGCTTCTATCTAATCTATAATTTATTGATTGCCCTCATTCTTTGACACTATATTTTATTTTACTTATTAAGACTAGTTTATTGAATCTTCCATTTACTATTGAATCTATTTAACTTTAGAAAATAGTTGAGGCGCTTCTTATTAAAGCTTTGTCTGAATACTTGGACTTATAGATCCAGAGTTTGAAAGTTGCTTGAATATTTCATTCTTTTACTAATTACTAAGATTTGGGTCTTGTTTAAGTATTTAATAGAGTTATCTTTATTCTGGCTTCATATTTCCAAGCTATTCTTCTATCTTCTAATCTGATTAACCATCCAAGAAAGCAGAATTTATTTCTTTAGCCAAGGTTTAAGTCTTAAATGGATCAACTTATGCTAAAATAGCAGGATCTCTTAAAATTTCTTCAGTAGACCTCCCGCCTTATAAATTTTAAGAAGCATTAATCGGCTGGCTTGGATCAAAGTTTTGCATAAGATTTGCCATAGATTGGCTGACTGAATTTGGATTTATTTAATCTAGTTAATCCAGCATTTGAGCTATTTATACTTTCTAGTTAGGTTATCTTGTTGCTTAATCATTTGTATTTTAGTTTTATCTTGAATTATTTTATCTGCTAGCAGCTCCTTTTGAATCTTACTAATCTCCAAATCCGGGATTTATTGACTAGTCTCCTCCATAAACTTACTGCTCTTCAAACATGAAGTCGTCAGAACCAGTGTTCAGATTATTTCCATTTTACTGAGATTTAAATGGATTTTTAACTTTATTTTTAATATCTCTCATTGAATTTAGATTAACATCTTAGTTGTTAAAATCTTCCTGGTTACTTCCTGGTACAAATGTATCTTATCTAAATTGTGAGGGATTGCCATTTTAATCTCTCTAGTTCTGCTGATTCCTCTAAGCAAAAGATGGTGTTTATCTAGTTTGTTGATTCTGACTTCTTGGATTCATTTAGTCATTATCTTAGTCATATTATGAATTGTTTTAAGAATGTATATCGCTGTAATCCTCATTTAATGCTTACTTAATGATTTATTTACTTAGTTTTTGAATTTCTTTCTAATCCATATCTGATATCGATTTACCCTGACTTAAAGTTTATTGGAGCTATTACTATGCTGGGTTCAATTTATTTGAGTTGCTATTTTACTAACCTAAATGAGATCTATCACCTAGAAGTTCCTCTATCACTGGATCATTGATACTTTAGATACGACTCAATGATTAATCTGGCACTGATCCCCCATCAATACCGGATAAAGTTGATCCCCTTTAGTTTCTAATTTTGGGATTTCCATTATTTTGGCCAGTATTATCTGCTCCTGATAGTTCATTTGAGCTTTGATTTTAAAATGGATTGTAAGTGTCATTTCCTGTTCCTGTTCCATTAGACTAATTCGGATATTGAAATCTTGTTGGCTCTTTTTGGAACTTTACTCTTTGATTTGAATCATGATTCCTTTCAAAATCTGGCATTTTTTAATCACCTGCTCCTACCTTTTATTCCTCGCCAAAGAAATCATCGTCTTCGATAATATTGTTATCTTTGCTATTTTTATTTTAATCATTTTAGAATTCTTCAAAGTATCCTTTTTTCTGAGTTTTTCCAAATTCAGGATGTCTTCCACCAATACCCGAACCAGCACCTCCTAGTACACCTGAGGGATCTCTTTCAAACTCATCACCACCAGTAGATAAAAAAGCATCCTTGAACTTATCATCATCCTTTTTGTGCTTTCCAATATCTTATCTAAGGGCAAGCTTTTAACGATTATTTAATACTCTAGATGCAATGCCATCCATTTCTGGTTCAATTCCTTCTGAGAATTGCTAAGCTTCCTCATTGTAATGCTTTTTTAGAATGTCATATAGTTGAGCATCCCCTTATGCATATTCCTCAAGATCTTTAAATGTGATATTCTTGTTTTTCATAGATTGAATAATTAAATCTCTTATGCTTTATCTTTATAAGTTATGTGTATTTAACTTGCCGACTTTTCTCTCATTTGATTCACCCGGAATGTGGCCTCCTCCAGTTCCTACTCCTCTCTTCAAAAATTAATTTGCCCTTTGTGCTGCACTCCAGTTTTATTCTAAGGCTAATAACTTTCTTTCTTGACTTGTAGGTGAGTAGGGCTTTTAAACTCTTAATTCCTAATTTAATCTCGCTAGTTCCCTCAGCATTTTGAACTTTGATGGCTATCCCTGTCTTGCTTATGATCCAGCTGTTCTAGGTCTTGGCTTATCCTTATTATCAATATCATCCTATGCCTCCTAGAGTACTTATTTTCTGACATCATCCATATTTGCATAGCCAGTCCTAGCTTGGATAATTTCATCTGGATTCAGCCCATGAAGTTCCTCATTTTTCTTCTTTTCTTCTATTTCCTTATTAATGAATTTGACTTATTGCCATTGTTGCTTAGCTTGGATAGCCCCTTACCTAACCTTAAGTACTCTATCTCCTTGAGCGACTTCAAGTGCATGAATCACCTATCTGTGCATATAGCCAAATATCAAATCAGCTACATCTTTAAGCTAAATAGCAATAGTCTTTAAGAGGTTGCATGCCTCTATCTTTTTAAGATAAGATTGGGTGTCAGGATTTTAGACTATTTTAATGCACCTTTGAACTATCTCCCATATATATTAAGTCAAATATTTCAAAGAAGTCTAGCTGATAATTGTCCCAAGACACTGCAAGAAATCAGGATGATCACATTTCGATTACTATAAAATTTATAAGTTATCTTAATAATATACAATGAAGAGCTGAATGAATTTAGGACACAAAAAATCAAAAAAGCCATTATGGCCTTTTTCAATTAGGTATTCTAAAAGTTTAAGGATGCAGACTGAGGCTGCTAACTATCCCATTTTATCATAGCCTCCATTAATCACAGAGGCAAGAGGCTCATAAAATATCAATGAAAGACTTAGTTTATCTTCTTTCTAATCGAAGCAGTTATCTAAGATTTCGACTAAACTATTTGCACAAGCTAAATGAATAAGTGTAGAATTCTCTTTTAAGAAACTATGTATGGTCTCACAAACTCTGACTATGGTTTTAAGGAGATTTGGCGGTCTGTCTAAAGGATCAAGCATTTCAGACTTATAGACTTTGGCTAAGTGTCCAAATAGCAGCACTTGCAGTTCTTTATTTGAAGTAGTTGAATTTTTATGTTTTTCGCAAAGTAATGATAAGTACACTCTCAAACTTGCTTAATCGCAATTAGCCTCAATGATTCTTTTACATTCATTTACTCCCTAATGAAATTAGCCTTTTCTAGAATTATACTTACCACTTCCTTAGTGTCATTTGTCGATAGCTTGTTCAAAGCTTACTGAAAACTCCTTCTTATTTTAAATAACCGATCTGTTTCAATTTAATTCAAATTAAACATTTGAGATTGCTTGGACTCAGGGCTAAAGGGTCTTTGATTCTGCTAACTGATACGGTTATGATCACTTTCAACTTGATCTTTTATCTTCTTAAGTTATTATTCAGTAGTCTATGGTCTGAGGTTATTCAGAAGAATTGGATTGTCTTTGGAATTCCCAACTGAGTAGAGATCAGATTAAGACCTCTATGATGGAGAACTATTCATACTTCAATTTTATTTAATTAATTTGTATTTAAATTCAATTAGCCACACTCACTTTACTCATTTTCAAATTTATTCTTATTTAAATGTCTATCGGGGTTTTGGGGTTTTGGGG